CTGCTCCTCCTCTTCCTTTTGCGTTAAAAGGACTTCAATCAGCATTCCTCCTCCTCTTTCCCCTTCCTCTTCCTCCTCCTCCTCCTCCTCCTCTTCCTCCTCCTCCTCCTCCTCCTCCTCCTCCTCCCCTCATCATCATCATCATCATCATCATCATCATCATCATCATCAGCAGCAGCAGCAGCAGCATCATCATCATCATCATCATCATCATCATCATCATCATCATCACCCTCATTTTCCTCCTCCTCCTCCTTTTCCTGCTCTTCGTCTTCCTCCTCTTCCGGGCACCTGTGCCACTGGGCTTGTTCCCAGCAGAACAAGCGGGTAGCAGCCCGATCGTCACCGCTGTTTGCCCGCATGGGGCCAAGGGGAGAGAAAATTGCTCCTCGTCGCCAGAGGCCACCCATGGAGTAGGTGGTGGGTCGGTTGAACGTCGGAGCGCGGCCTCCGGCGCCCCATGCCCCGAGCAGGGCACGCGAAGCACGGCATCCTTGCGTGCCCTGTTTCGCGCACCGTTCGCGGAGCACGTGTTCCTCCTGGTCCTGGCCACGGAAGCACGTGCCCCGTGCCGCACTCCTGCAGGCGGAACTTGCGGGAGTTTTCTTTGTGCCGGCGCGGCGTTGGTGCAAGAGCTGGCAGCTCTCGCGCTGCCAGCTTGGGATTGTGCGGTGGGCCAGTAGACGTAAAAAAAAACTCCTCGTTTTCATTTTCCTCCTCCTCCTCCTCCTCCTCCTCCACTTCCTCCGCTTCCTCCTCTAGCCGCATCCATCCCTGACTCCACCCTGTCGCACCCCGAAGCCAGTCGAAGCGGCGAACTGGGCGTTTTCGCCTGAGACGCCCTCACCAGCTATGGTCGTGGAGTTAAAATTTGCAAACACTTCACGGATCGAGGGCGGCCCGATTTCAAAACGTGATGTAAGCCAGAACGCCGCGCGCACTGTTTTTCAATCATTGCAAGAATTTCACGGATGGAATGCGGCCTGTCTTCACAAAATGTTGTTATCGTTTTAGCGCCGAGCACATGCGTCCTAAAACTGCCTGATCATCAAAGATGAGGGGCGGTCTGTTTCCAAAACGAGGCGATCGCGTCATCGTGCGCGCATTCGTTTCAAAGTCTGCAAACGCTTCATGGATGGAGGGCGGCCCGTTTTCAACATGCGTGCCTTGCCTGAGCGCCGCGCACATTCGTTTATATATATATATATATATATATATATAGATAGATATATCGGAGGTTGGGGGGTGAGATCGAAGTGGAACGGAGAGCCCCCCTAGCAGGAAATCGATTTCGGTTTCGTGTTCGTGCGTGCCGTGCGGGCGAGGCGAAGCTGCGTGGGCGGGCGAGAAGAAGTCTCCTGTGGCTGAGGCGCGGCCGGAACAGAAAAACCTTGACTGGGCGGCCGGTGCCCCGCGGTGTCCCGCCGGTTTCCCGCTGGTGTCCCGTGTGGCTGAGGCGCGGCCGGGGCAAAAGAACCTTGACCGGGCGGCCGGTGCCGCGCGGTGTCCCGCCGGTGTCCCGCTGATGTCCCTTCGGTGTCCCGTCGGTGTCCCAATGATAACGTGGATGATTATGGTGATGATGATGATGATGGTAATGATGATGATGATGATGATGATGTTGATGATGGCGATGATGATGATGTTGGTGTCGTTGATGATGATGCTGATCATGGTGATGATGATGACGTCGGTTGTGAGATCGATTGTGATATCGATAGTGGGACCGAATGTGAGATCGATTGTGCGATGCTGATGGTGATGATGGCCGTGATGGTGTTGATGATTGTGCTGATGATGACGACGTTGATGATGATGATGATGATGATGATGACGATGATGATGATGTGAGTGGTGATGTCGATGATGATGATGATGATGACGACGTCGATAGTGATATCGATTGTGCGATCGGTAATGATACCGACTGAGACAGCGAATGAGGTCTTCTCTAAAGCTCTCCTCCACCACGCCAACGCCCCAAACAGCGAGCGGCAACACAACTATCTCCAGTGGCACTGTCACAACAACATTCAGCACTGTTGCCCATTGCTGCCCCCCCCCCCCCAACCTCCTTATCACCCGCAGGGTGGTCGTATAGGTGTATATATATATGTATATATATGTGTATATATATGCGAAAGTTTCACAAAAGGGGGGTGATTCTTTTCTCGGAAAGTAGCTCCCGCCTTAGCGCCGCGCATGTTCGGTGTGGTAACCCCAAGATTGGCGTTTCGGCGCGATTCAGGATCGTCAAGACAACAATAACGGTTACTCGCGGCGCTCATGTCCCACGCATAGCGCTCTGGCGCAATTCCGGATTTTCAAACAACTGTCATCCAACGGGGCACTTCCCCCAGTGAAAACCAATCCGTGTAGGGGCCGACGAAGAGGGAACTTGGAGGGAGGGCGCATTGCAGTATCGTTGATGAGTTCAGGGTCTACGCTGGTATTCCCTGTTCCTGCTCCTGCTCCTGCTCCTGCTCCTCCTCGTCCTCCTCCTCTTCCTTCTCCTCCTCCTCCTCCTTCTCCTCCTCCTCCCCCTCCTCCTCCTCCCCCCCCTCCTCCTCCTCCTCCTTCGCGTCTTCCTCCTCCTCCTCCTCCTCCTCCTCTTCCTCCTCTTCCTCCTCCTCCACCTCATCCTCCTCCTCCTCATCCCCTCCTCCGACCGCCTCCGACCGCCTCCTCTTCCTCCTCCTCCAGCAGCCGCCTCCAGCCGCCTCCTCCTCCTTTGCTCCAGCCGCCGCCCCCACCTCCTCCTCCTCCTCCTCCTCCTCCTCCTCCTCCTCCTCCTCCTCCTCCTCCTCCTCCTCCTCCTCATCATCATCATCATCATCATCATCATCATCATCATCCTCGTCCTCCAGCCGCCTCCGCCTCCGCCTTCTCCAGCCGCCTCCCCCGGCCGCCTCCGCCTTTTTCATTGACGCGGCGTCAGCGCCCGGCGCCGCTAGGCGTTCGCCGGCAAGCAGGCGACCACTTGAAAATGACATGGCCCTATGGCTCTGCCAGCGACTCAGCCCAGGCCGACGGGAGGCGGGGCGCAGGTGGCGGTTCCAGAGGCGCGCCGCAGGTGCGCCAAGAGAACGGCCGCTGGCGGCCCGTCACTGGCATCCACCGGCCTGAAGCCTGGCCCGGGCGCCCAGCGGCGGCGGCGGCGGCGGCCGCGGCGACCGCCTCCCGTGTCTCGATGCCCGGGCCCGCGCGCAATCCGGTGATGACCAGGCGGGTCGCTGGGCGCAGATTGAGCCTGAGTATGGCCGCGTGCAGGGGGCAGGGGGCGGGGGCCTGGGTCAGACGGCGCGTCTGCCAGGTCCTGCAAGCAGGACTGCCTCGCGAAGTCTGCCAATTACAGCGGCGTTGGGAACGAGAGGGAACAGAAGGGGGAGGGCAGAGGAGGGGCAAGGGGAAGCAGGAGGCGGAAGGCTATAGGGCGGGGGGGCAGGAGCACAAAGCGAAGAAGGGGGACCAGGGCAGTAGGGGAGACGGAGACAGGGAGGGGGGGGGCACGGGGGAGGGGAGGCAGGGGCACGGGGGGCGGGGAGGCGGGGGGAGCACGGTGAGGGGGCGGGGGGAGGGAGGGGGGAAGGGAGAAGGGAGAACGAGGTGGCGGCCACTCCCCCGGCTCGGTCACGCGCCAGCCCGACGCGGGTCTTAAGGGCCCGAGCCAGCGCGTAGAGCACTGGCGCGCACTCGGCAGTGGGAAGTCCACCGTGGCGACGACCACAGCGACGACAGCGACGACAGCGGCGACGGCGACGACGACGACGACGACGACGACGACGACGACGACGACGACGACGACGACGACGCAGCGGCGACGCCGCCAACGACGACGACGTGGGCGACGACGGCGGCGCCGATCGAGACGACGCTCGTTGGTCGCCTCCTCCTCCTCCAGCCGCCTCCAATTCAACGCCCTCCTCCTCCTCCTCCTCCTCCTCCTCCTCCTCCTCCTCCTCCTCCTCCTCCTCCCTCCTCCTCCTCCTCCTGTTCCCCCGCCGTTTGCGTTAGACGAATTAAATCGGCATTTCTCCTCCTCCTGCTCCTCCTCCTCCTCCTCCGCCTCCTCCTCCTCCTCCTCCTCCTCCTCCTCCTCCTCCTCCTCCTCCTCCTCTGACACTTCCTTCTGACACTCCTCCTCCTCTTCCTCCACCTCCTCCCCCTCCTCATCCTCCTCCCCCTTTTTGCCGCCTCAGGTCCGCCGACCCTCGCGGGCCCCCCCCCGGCAGACAGGAGAAGGCTGAAAATCAGATATACTCCGCATCCAGTGGTCTGCCGACGACTCATGCGCCGCCCCGCGGCCCGCTCGCAAGCAGGTTGCGCGAGGGGGCGCTGGACGTCCACTGGCGCTGCGCCCTTCTTTACAGCTCGCGTCAGCCCTCGGCGTGCCGCCCCGCCGCCGCCGCGCTGGGGCCGCGGCGCGCGGCGCCCGCGTCCGCACCTGCGCCGCTGCCGGTGGTGTTGCCGCCGCCGCGCGCCGGGCGGGCGGCACGCCCCGCGGCTACGGGCGCGCTGGAACCTGTGCCCGCCCATAGCCTCCTCGCGACAGTGACCGCCGTCAGGGCATCAGCGTCTTCACGGCAGCGGCGGAAGACCACCGCGGCCGGCATGCCCTCCCACGGCGTGCCAGCGGCCGCGTCCGCCGCCGCAGCGTCAGCGCAACTGCATGCGAGGAAGTGCGCGCTGCCGTCGGCGCACTCCTGGTGGCACCACCTGCACTTCAGCACGGCCTGGCCGTCGGTGACAGAGAACCGCCTCCACATCAGCTGCAACGCCATCCGCCCACTGTTTCCGCGCGGTGCCCCGCGCCCCGAAGGCACCTGGAAGCGGCGCGAAGGCTGACTTCCTTAACGCGTCCGCGTAAGGCTGCGCCTCCTCGCGGGAAATCTCCCATGAGACCCGCTGATGCGCTGCGTCTGCCTCCCTGTGATCGGACGGCGCAGCCCCCCCAGGGTCGGCGGCCACGGCAGCTGCGATGGCCGCCGAGAGGGCTGCGCCTAGCGAACAACTGGAGGGCGCTGTAGCGACAGCGCCCTGGGCCCCGGCTCCCCGTAGACGACCTCCATGGCTCGCTTGGCCTCCACATGAGTCTCATCCTCGACCCACCTCGCGCCGAAGTGGGTATGCAAAAGGCGCTCGGCATCTTCGGCGGCCTGGACGGTGGCCCAGCCAACCACCACGCGGACGCGGCCGTCGCTGAAGATGGAGACTGTGGCCCCTGTGCGGAGCACAACTGGCCATGACATGGTAGTGCGCGCAGGGACGTTCCGCGTCCCCACCTGTTCGTCCAAAACGTCCCACACACCAGCAGCGGCGCCCTGCCGCTCCGCAGCCGCTGATCGAAACAGCGTGGCCCCCCTCAGGACGAGGACCTTGCCCGCGATGCGGGTCATGCGTGCGCGCCTCTGGACGTCTTCCTGGGTCAAGCGGCCTTGCTGTCTCCCCGCCCGGTTCGCAGGGAGAAACTCCTCGAACGCACGGCGGAGCCGGGGCCGCAGGGCATCCACGCAGGACTCCTTGCCGTCGAGCCGCAGGCGGCCATCCGGCTTGGTTCGATACCAGTTTATGGTGACGACGGCTCTGGTCTTGACCGCTGGCACGAAGCGGAATCCATGCCCCCCCTCCAGGCATTGACCCCGTCCTCCCACTGGGTGCCCTGGCGGGCGTGATCGTCGACATACAGACCCGCCGAAGTTAGCTGGAGACAGAAGTCCCAGAGCTGCTTGTCGTCCTCCAGCTTCTTCGAAACGAACCTGAACTCTATGGCTAAATCAGGAGCTGGCTGCGTCCACTGCGGGTGGGACTGCTGAGCTAGAATCTCAACTGGACTGGTAGGCGGGCGTGCAACGCGATGGGCATCCCATTTTGATACGGGTGAGGCACCTGCCGGTAGGAGCGGGGACGCCGATGGCAGGCCTAGCGGAGCGGAGCGGGCAGGGGGCGCCGCGGCCTCGGGATAACGCCGGAGGCAGGCTCCACTTCCACCTTGTGGAGCGCTTGCGGGGGCGGACACTGTGCACCGGTTTCCTGGGGCCCCTTGCTCCCGCGAGGCTGGTCCTGCGGCGGGGCGCGGCCACGGTCCTCTGCCTCTGCCGCCGCCGCCGCCGCCTCCTGGAACACGTTGTGTCTCCACGTCGACAACCCACGCATCGTCTCCAGCCGCTGCTTGTAGTGGTCTGCTCCGGCCTAATCGCCGCATCTGACGAGCAATGCGACGAGGTCCTCCAGCTCCTTGATGCTGGGCGCGGCTGCGGCACTGCCAGCGGCTACCCCTGGCGGCGGATGGGGCCCCACCACCCCTGCGGCTGAATCCGCGGCGCTGCTGGCAGCTGTCTTCGCTGGGCCGGCTGCCTCCTCCTTATCCTTATCCTTATCCTCATCCTTATCCTCATCCTTATCCTCCACCTCCTCTTTATCTCTCTGTCGGACTGCAGCCTCCTCTGGGCGCTCCCCCGTCGGAGGGGGCGTGGCGGCAACCGTCGGCGGCGTCCTCGGATAGAGCTGGCTGCCCGCCGGCGATGCGGGGCTGGCGACTGCCAGGGAAGGGCCGCGGCCGCGCAGACCCGGCACGACAGATTGGGCGCCCGAGTTATCCGGGGTAACTCGGGTCCGGGGTAACTCGGGTTTGGGTTCCCGAAAAACGAACCCGAGTTATCCCTGACCCGAGTTACCCCTGATGATTCGGGGCTCTGGACGCCCGAGTTATCCGGGGTAACTCGGGTCCGGGGTAACTCGGGTTTGGGTTCCCGAAAAACGAACCCGAGTTATCCCTGACCCGAGTTACCCCTGATGATTCGGGGCTCTGAACAGAGAGCGGGCGCGGGGGCCTGCTGATCCCGGGGCCTGCACGGCCGACCCGCGGGGTGCCGGCGGCGGCTCCAGGTCGCTGGGCTTCCTGGGGGGGCGGAGCTCTCGAGCGGCGACGCCGGCCGGGCCGCGGGGGGCGGCTCGCGGGGTCCACGGCTGGGCCTGCGTCTGCCGCGCGGCGGCGGCGGCAGCTGCGGCTCTGGTCCTCCGGGCGCCGCGCGACGGGACCGCTGCGGCGCCGCTCGCTGCGGCGGGGGCTGCCTCGCCTGCTGCGGCTGCGAGGCTCCGACTCATTGATGATGTCCCTGGCGCCCGCGCGGCGGTGGTGCGGAGGTCCACGCGGGGGAGGGTGACCGAGGGAAGCGTGCTGCCCAAGATGGCCTGCAACGCACTTTCAATGCGCCCTGGGTCATTGTATGTCATGGCCCCCGACCTCCAAAACTTCGCAATCGAGTTGGCGACAACCTCTCTGTACGCCTCGCGCACGACGGCGCAAAGGGCCGCAAGCACGCGGCGGGGACGGTTGTCCAGTGCTGCAACTGTCTTAGTCTTACTGGGGCTCAGTCCGAGCCGGACGTCGAACTGCGGTTCTGCCGGAAGCGCCATCCCGGCGGCTCACGACAACCGCGCACCGGTCGGGCGCCGTCGCGGCCCGGAAGTGCTCCGGCGCGCGAGTCGAACCCAAGTGGC